GGGGAAGGGGAAGGGGAAGGGGGGGGGACTGGAGCCACAGTGACTGCATGCTCTTCTGTTTTCTTGTGACGCGTAAATGAGAAAGACAGTGTTATTTTCTACCTTGTACCAAGGACTGAAACCAGAACAACCAGGTTTTTACCAGGTGTTGGTAAAAAAAAAAAAGAAAAGAAAAGAACAAAAGATGAAGTTCCGTGTCCGGCAGTGACGCCTGGTTCACCGCAGTGACACCGAGGTCGCATGAACAATTGAATGATTTTTATTTTTTATTTACTTCTGTCATTTTGTGCAAACGAAGAACGATCTCTGTGCCTTGTACCAAGGATTTAAAAACTAAAAAAAGAAATATAAAAAAAGTGAAGTGAAGAAGTTGGTTTAAAATGGTTTAAACATTTACGTTTACATTTATTTCTCGGACTTCGGTTTGCAGGTTGAATTTCTTTTTTCTTTTTCTTTTTTTTTCCTGAGTCCGTTGCATGTTTGTCACAGCATGGTCTGTTATGGATGGATTTGCCCAGAGATTTGCCCCCCCCCCCAACCCCGTCTTTATTTTTGTACATTGTTGATGAATAATGAAATATTTATTATCGCCCAGTGTCCCTGGATGAGATTTCAATAAAAATGAAATTATGACACAACATCGACCTCTATGTTTGTTTTTGTTTTTTTTAAATAACGACTGTTTTAACAGTTAAATTTATAGACAGTGATTTTAGAGAAAATAGAGAATTGAAAGATTCACGGATCAGAACGGAATTCAAACGAAAAACGAATTCGATTATGAACTATAATAAATGCAGAACCAGTGATAAATCATATATATAATTTTATCTTTATATAGAAATTACCTTTTCAGAAATTACTTTAAAAATATTTAAACTTTATTCATACGTTAAAGTTGTTTTTAAAAACCCACCCCAATTTGACAAACACTAAACCATCAAGACTGAATTTTTAAAAAATGTTTTAAACATTTAAACAGAAACATCTGATTTTAATAAAGGGTTTTTGAAAAACTCTCACTAATTTAATAAAAAATATACCAATGTGAAACTAAGAACAACAGTTTTAAACAATTTTACAAAGTAATATTAAAATACAATAATCACAGATGAAAAAATGAAGCGAAATAAATGACAACTACTAATTACAACGGATTAAATGAATAAAAAAAACAAACTGAATTCAGAGAAATTGAAAAATCGAATGAACAGCCAATAAAAACAACTATTTAATATTATATCTTAAAATATTTTCGAAGTGATAAAAATCAAGAAACTAAAGATAAAAATTAACTCGGTCATTTTTCTGTAATTACAAATATGTATTAACACTTAAAGCTTGTACTTTAAAATATTTATTTTTAATTAGTAAATATAATATAAATATTCGGACAATAAATAAATAATGGAAACATCGATTATCTAATAACAATAACCACAATTATCAGAATTATTATTATTCATATTATTTATATTATTGTAATTTGTATTATTGTTATTATTAATAATATTATTATTTCGGACGTTATTATTATTATTGTTAATATTATAATTATTACGTGGTTGTATTTAAACTCCTATTAATTGTAAATATTCATGTTCTGTTCCAGTGACGCGACAATTAGACTGAACCCTGACTGTGGTCTCTGTGGTCTACAGTCTGTGCCGGATCCGGTCTTGAACGCTTCCCCGATCCTGATCCTCTTCGGGGACCTGTGATCTCAGAGCAGTTTGTCCCCCCCCCCCTCCCTGGTTCCCCCTTGTCCCTGGGGTTTTTCTACTGCGCTGCGACAGAATGTACGTTTGTGCAGATTACAAGTTAATTGTTCACGTGGGACCAGGAGGAGAAAAGCACATCAGAGAGGGACGGCGGGATTACAGGCTGTTACTGCAGGAGATTAGACATCCACGGGCCTCCTCCTTCACCTCCTCCGCCTCCTCCTCCTCCTCACATCCATGCAAATGAATGCGTGGATTAAAAATAAAAAGGCGGAAAAAGAAAAGCAGCAGCAGCAGCAACAGCAGCAGCAGCAGCACAGGCCTCTTTGTAGCTTATTTTAAAGAGAAAAACAAGTTCTACAGAGAAAGAGTTCTGTTGGTCCTGAGGAATGACGGGAGTCGGTCTGCCTCCTCCTCCTCCTCCTCCTCCTCCTCCTCTCGCAGTGGCAGATGGGAGGTAAATAGCCGTGCAGCCGCTGTGGCCTTTTAAGCTCACAACACTGAGGAGGATGTTGTCGAGGGAAGACGGCGGTTTGCGAGTTAATAGTCATGAGTTTGGGGCAATTACTTAAGGTTTATTATGGTCTGCTTTCAAAGGAAATGGACTCTTCAATGGGCGACGAATACTTGTTAATTCTGTCTAATTAGGAGGAGCGGAGAGGAGAGGAGGAGAGGAGGAGAGGAGAGGAGAGGAGGAGAGGAGGAGAGGAGGCTGATAAATTAAAATACAGACAAACTTTACTGGACTGTAAATATGAGCCGCGCGTCTTGATTTAGTTAAAAGTTAAAATATTCTCTTTCTTTTCTCACTGATTTTTCACAGTAAATTTGAGTTTGAAATAAAGTCTATGATTAAAAAATTAAAAACAAGAACAAAAAGAAATTTAAAAATTATGACATTAAAGCAAAATAAACATGAAAAATCATTTCAATTATGAAGAAGATTTTACAGAAAAAAACTCACAATTATTTATTATTTTATTTTTATGTTTTGCTTTGATGACAATAACTAAAATTTATGTCTTGTGTGAAGTGAGAACCTGAACTGGGCCACAGATCAGAGTAGGACTGTGTCAAAAGAGATTTTTTTTCCCAGTGATTTATTTATATATTTATTTTTATCCCAGTGTCACTACACTGTAGTCAGCACCGGAGCAGAGAACTGGACCAGAGAGCATGGAGATGAGAGAAAAGAATGAAGTTAACAGTTTTATATATAAAAAAACAGATGATTTTTTTTTTTTTGTTCCTCTGGTTCAGGTTTTATTTAATCACATTTCATAACAAACGTTGGCTATGAATGATTTCAGGTCAGGACCCTGGACAGTTCCTCAGTCCAAGAACTGTTCACACTCACATTCACACCTACGGTCGACTCAGAGTGAATAAATAACCTGGTCCACAGTCTGTGGAGAAAACACACACACACACACACACACACCTGTGGGCTCCGTCACAGACAAACTTCATCTCTCTCTCCCTCTCTCTCTCTGCTCTGCCTGCAGTGTGAAGTGCTCTGCGGGTCTGTTGACTCTCTTAGTCAGTGAGCTGTTGGAGGGTTCGATGCCTGAGGGCAGCAATTGAAACTAAATATCAGTTAAATAAAGAGGGGGGGGGTCAGGCCGGGACACCTCAATAAGAGATGTCAGATCTGTTTTATCCACAATTATCTGTTGTCTTTGCGTTTCCGTCTCTCACTTCCGGCCTGCTCCCGCGCCACCGCCTCC